CCCGAGGAGAGCGGGCTGGGCGACGGTGACCTTGAGCCCCCCCTGCCCAAGAAGACAAAAAAGGTTAAGGAGCAGAGCAGCGGTGTGGCTGCAGAGAACGAGGGCTCCGAGCATACGGTGGAACCTTCCTCCGCTGTAAGCGACAGCGTGACATCCCCGGCATCCCAGAGCGCGTCCGGCGACAGGGCCGCCGGAGAGCAGGACAGCGACGCCGAGGTAGTAACGCTCTGCTGGCGGAGCCCTTGTCTTGCTTAATTAAATTCTCACGGCTAATTGAACGGGCTTAATAACACTGCTGTTCCTCTTAGTTTTATAGCACTGGGGAGTGTCCGGCATCACGCTCGTTTCCAACACGTGGGAGCTGTCTCTCCATGTTGTGCTTTCCCCCTCACGGTAAATGCCAAGCCATTGGGAGTAGCTTGTCCTGCAGTGGAGGAGGCTAGCTAGCAGGAAGCAGCTTCCGTGTGCTAGCTCGTCTTGGTGTAGCAACTTGTTTAGTGTCCTGCAGCGCAAGGGTTTCTCCCTCCTGCACAGGCAGTCACCGTCCCAGAAAGGTGCGCTGCTTTGTGCTGTGGTGGTGCTTTCTCGGCTGGTAGGCCCTTTGAAAAACTATTTGGAGACGTGTTCTGTAAGGGAAGGTCATGGTTATCGTTAATTCCCACTTCTGGAGTTCTCCCTGTTTGAATTTCACCCTTGGCCTCGTACATACGTCTGAGAGGGCCCTGCAGCTTGCCTTCCTCTGTGTAGGGTCTTCTGAGGGTAGTTTTCTCTCTTGTGTTTAAGATGGGAAAGTGAATCAAGAGAGTGCTTGTTGTATATTTGGTGTAATGATGTGGTCTCTCGGATCTTTGAAGTAGAGGCTAAATGGTGAGTTTTAAATAAGTATTTACTGGTGTGCAAAGTTAAGAAGCAGTTTGTGCAGTGTACCGAGTAGGTGTGATTTAGCGGGAAAGTCCTGCTTCACACAGTGAATTGTGACACCACATATGTTTTGCTTTTAAAAACAGATTTCTACTGATTTCAGTGGACTCTGGTTAAGATTTTTAACAAGTAGTTTTCATTTCCTGACTTGCCAAGCATATGTGCACGATCACGTGGAAGGAGCAGTTCTCTTTTGTTTGCTACAGGTCTAAAAATGTGGTGCAGGTATATCTGAATTGGGGATGAGATAGCAGTAGTCATGGTTTTGAACAAGTTGTTGCAGGTAACAAAAGCAGGAAGACCTTTGGCAGGAAGTCTTTGCTTAAGACTGGTGTAAAACCAGGATTTGTTTGTAGGAATTCTGTCACGCTGAGTGGTACAGCCTGTGTCAGTGTGTCTTGTCTATACAGGGTGGCTGGATTCAAGTTTCCCAGTTTACGCTGTGATGACGTTTTTGTTTGTGAAGTACCTGTAGCATTTTCTTTTTCTTTAAACAGAAAGGAGGTAGCTGGTAAAATTGCAGTGGTAAAGCAAATACACAGCCTTTCCTGTGTGCCTATGTAGGGCATGCCTCTTAGGCTAATAAGTTTTTTTCTTTTTTGTCCTGTTAGGAGCTGACAGAAGAAGCAAAAGAAGGCGCCTTCTCCAATTTTCCTCTCTCCCAAAACACTATCAACCTTCTCAAAGGTTAGTTAGCACGATAAAAGAAATTTCTGTAAATGTCCAGAATTGCACTCTGTTACCCATATAAGCAGAGGCAGAACCCAAGGGTGAATTGTCCTAAATCATCTTACATTTATTGTGTGGTAAGAATATGCACATGACCAGTCACTGTAGATTCAAAGAATCTACTGTTGTAAGTATGAACAAAGTTTCTGTTTAATTCAATTTCAAGTGCCTTAAGGTGAGTTTATTCTTCCATGGTGTGGTTATTCCTAGATATACATTCTAGAGATAAGCGTAATGGTGTTTTGTATATGAAGACTATTTGGCTCCTGTGAACAGGTTGTGTATGATTATTCTCATACTTTTGGGCATTTTCCTATCTCTTCTCTGTTAATTTTGTTGAGGAAGTAATCACTGTAGAGTTCTTGTCCTCTGTATTGGGAAGCTGGGCAGTTCTTGTTCCTCAGACAAAATTCTCCTTGTTCCTTTACGTTTTCCTTGCTCCGAAGTTTCTCTTGGATGGATCATTTCACTTCCACTGTGCAAAATCTCTCTGAAGTTTTAGAATGTTTGAAACAAACATCCTCACCTCCTCCCCACCTTCAATACCAAGCTACCACAAAATCTTGGGCTATATCAGAAAAAACATGTTGTGGTTTGTGTGGGTTGTTTTTTTTTTTCCTTCGTCTCCTGTTGTTTTATGCCAAACATCACAAAGAAGGCTATATTTCATTGTGGAAACTGGGCTGTGTATTTGCGGGTGGAATACCTTTTGATGCTAGAGTAGGAGTAAAAATAAAGATAAGTGATTTTCTTCTAAGTTGCATCTCCTGTTGTGTACAGCATTTGACAGCATGTGCCTTACATATTCAGGCTAGTTATATATGAGGGCTTTGAATTGTTTGTTCAACTTTTAACGAAACCTTTTGGATTATCTTACAGCTCGAGGTGTAAAATACCTGTTCCCTGTGCAAGTGAAGACTTTTCAGCCCATATATGATGGCAAAGATGTAATTGCTCAAGCTCGAACAGGAACGGGGAAAACCTTTTCTTTTGCTCTTCCACTGACTGAAAAACTTCAGAGTGTCTCACAAGATGGGAGAAGAGGCCGTGCACCAAAAGTAACTTACCACTTAAGTGTTAACACCAAAACCTTAGAATATGGCAGTTTCAAAAATGGTTTTGTAATTACTTTGAGGACTTCTCTTTGGGACTTTTTTCTCCTTTATTGCTGTTTGTAGTGCTGATCACTTTCCTCAGATCAGGAGCTACCGTGTGACAGAGATTTTGCAGCATCACAGTGATAACATGTTTCATGTTTAGGATTCCTTGTGACTGCATTTGGGAGAATGGTCAGGGCAACTGCAGTAATAGCAGGACTTCTAGAATGCTGTCCTCAGGAAGTTAGCGTGTGTCTTTGGGGTTCAATTCCCTGCCTTTTCTGAGGTAGTGGTTGAGTCAGCTGGACTTGTCTTCATTCACTGAGATTGTTTCTCACTATAATTTCCATGGTGATAACTGAAGGCTTTTGGTTTGGTTTTGTTTCCCCCTCCCCGCACCTTTCGTGTCCGGAGACACAACTTAATGCATGCAAGCAGGGTTTACATTTCTACTTAAGCATGAGATGGAACTGGTAACCAGATACCTGTGATCAGATATCATATTCCCATGCAAATTAAGTGTATATATGTATCGTTAGACTGAAAAACTGCTGTAGTCTGCGGATTTGTTGCCTACTTCATCCTTCTATTTTATTAACTTTAAAGGTGATGCAAGTTTTAAAATCTTACTCTCTGAAAGATTTCTAGGGAAGAATTCAGCTCTTTGTTTTATCATTTCATTGTTAAAGAAAATGGAGGGGGGAAGGATAGGTACTGGAGGAAGGCAGGCAGGTGGAGAAGGAGGATATATGGCTAGAGTCATAGAATGATAGAATCATAGAACGGTTTGATTGGAAGGGACCTTAAAGCCCATCCGGTTCCAACCCCCTGCCATGGGCAGCGACACCTCCCACCAGACCAGGTTGCTCAAAGCCCCATCCAACCTGGCCTTGAACACTCCCAGGGATGGGGCAGCCACAGCTTCTCTGGGCAACCTGTGCCACTGCCTCACCACCCTCACCGGGAAGAATTTCTTCCCAGTATCTTATCTAAATCTTTCCTCTTCCAGTTTAAAGCCATTGCCCCTTGTCCTATCACTCTCTGCCCTTGTCAAAAGTCCATCCCCAGCTTTCTTGTTGGCCCCTTTAGGTACTGGAAGGCTGCTGTAAGGTCTCCACAGAGCCTTCTCTTCTCCAGGCTGAACAACCCCAACTCTCTCAGCCTGTCCTCACAGCAGAGGTGCTCCAGCTCTTGGATCATCTTTTTGGCCTCCTCTGGACTTGCTCCAACAGGTCCAGAGTGCATCGTGCTATGTATCTTTTAGGATCTTACTCCTCCAAATTGTTCAGTGACTGTTCCTGTCCTTTAGTGCTGAACTGCACCTGCATTCTCCTTGGTAATGTTATTGAAATGTCTGTTTTATCTGGCATTAACTTAAGAAAAAAATGTTACTGTTCTGCATCTCAGTTATATTGTAATGCTTTGCCTTGTTTCCTCTTGCTGGCTATGAGGCTGTGTGGTGCAGGCTCCAGATGGCAGGAAATATTGCTGGGATGGTGGGGAGCTGTGGGCACCTCTGGAACAAGTGTAGAATAAGAATGGGAGCACAAGCTGTTTGATGTGAAGTAAACCCTTTTCTCCGAGCACCCTCTCCCAAGCACAGCTACATTTTTGTCTCTCTCCACTCCCTCCAGGTGCTGGTTCTTGTTCCAACCAGGGAACTGGCCACTCAGGTAGCCAGAGACTTCAAGAATCTCACCAGGAAACTGTCGGTGGCTTGTTTTTATGGAGGAACTCCGTATAAAGCACAGCGTAAGTAAACATGAAGGAATTACTACTGGATTGGAGTTGACTTTCTCAAAATGGATTCCATGAATAAAGCTGGCTTTTTTCCCCCCCTCAGAGTTTCACTTTAGTCAGGAACCATGACATTGCTTTCAAATGAAGCATGCAGCCTGGGTTGAATTATTTTAGTTCCAGTAAATCTTTATTTAAAAGAATGGTTGTCGATCTGCAAAGCGACTAGTCCTTTTAGTTTCTTCTTTAAGGCGTGTTTGTATGGTTTTTGTGTGGACATATACTGGGACTAGACGACCCTTCTAAGGAAAAGAGAGAACTGTGTGTGTACACATGGCTTTTGCTGTCTCCTGAGGTAGCTATGAAAAAGAATTTAGCTGGAAAACTAAAGTGTTTTTCTGTAATAAAGCTCTGGAGGTTTCTAATGCCAGCTGATTGCTGCTTGGAAATTGGTGTATTTTACCATAACTTCGTGTGTGGTTCAGCTGGTATTCCTGACAGAGCAACCTGGACTGCCATTAAGTTTACTTGTTTGTTACCTGGAGTGGAGCTAGTGCTTTATTCAGAGATTAAAGTGAAAGGCAGTAGATTTTTGATTCTAAAATTAGAAGTATTGCTGTGTACTGGTAACTTCTTACCTTGTTGTCTCTTAGCATTCTAACACTGTCCTTGTTTTTCTGTCTTCTCTTCCAGTTGATCTCCTTAAAAGTGGCATTGATATTCTAGTGGGAACTCCTGGACGGATCAAAGACCACATTCAGAATAGCAAACTGGAACTTTCCAGCGTGAAGCACGTTGTTCTGGATGAAGTTGATCACATGTTAGACATGGGCTTTGCTGAACAAGTGGAAGAAATCTTAGGATTTGCTTATAAAAAAGGTAAATTCTGACAGGGAGAGGAATAGGGGACAATGCAGAAAACACAGTTATGCTACTTTGAGAACTGCTGGTGCACCCCCAACTTGAATCCCTTGTGCCATGCTAGTGTCAGACCTCAGAGAAAAGGGTAAGGTGGTATTGGAAAATGTTCAAAGTAAGGTGACAGATGGCTGACAGGCTGGAATGGCATCTCTGAAAGGAGTGGGAGAAAAAAAATACAACAGACAAAAAAAGCAACAAACCCAACCCAACTCCCTAAGCACTAGTGTTCCTCGTGCTGAGAGAGGTGACTGAGCATAGGGTTAGGGTTATGGCATGTCTGTACACTTGTCATCACACAAAGTTGATGGCTAGGGAATATTTGCTCTTTTCTGATGTAGTGGGCATTCAGCAAAGCCACCAGGTAGCAGGTACAGAGCAGAAGGAGGTTATTTTAATAGTGTGAAGTTCCTTGCCACATGGTACTAATGCCAAAAGATTTGAAAAGTGACTTGATGAATTACTGGAAGTAGAAATATGAAGGATTACTAATAGCAAGGTTATCACTTCTGGCTCTGGAAGCCACGAGAAGCTGGTTGCTGGCAGTTTCTTCACATCTTTGTTAACTACACTTGACTACTGTTGGAGAGAGTACATGAGCTTTGTGGTTCTTAGGTTTGACCCAGTACAGCCACTGTCATTTTTACTTGACTCTTTCATTCTCCCCGTGTCTGCAGAGTTGGTCTTTGTCCTGACAGCCAAAAAATACAGATGGTCTCTTAAAAAAGGAAATCTGTATAGGTTTTGGAAGAGTTGTCACAATTACTCAGCCCTAAAAATTTTCTTCATAACTGGAACATAAATTGTGACGAATAATTAGCGTTCTTTTGCAATGTGTGTTTGTTTCTGTCTGATCCTGTGGAGCTATGAAGGAAGGTTAAACTTTTTCAAGATGCTGTTTGTTTAACTGTTCTTACCTGGGGTAATCTATCTTGTATAATTCTTGCCCTTGGTCTGCAGAGTGTCCTTTTTAGCCTGCCTTTTTCCTTTGCACGTAGCCAACATTGTTCACAGCTAGTTAGCACTGGAATTCCAAGCAAGGAGAGATTGAGACAAGAGTGCTTTCAAGTATGTGGGAGGACTTCAGCTACAGTCTAAACCATTTTTAGCAGATGATCTAGAAACGTGTCTTGCATTTCTTCTCGGGCAGAATGAAGGATTCAGTTTGGTCTGGTTAAAAGTACTGTAATTTTGCCTTTGGTGTGTAAAGGGTATTAAAACGTTTTCATTGCTTCCGAGTTTCTTCTTGTAGCTGACACTGCACGTACAAACCTCTCAATTGGAGAGCAATTCTCTTGCTTTTTTTATCGGTTCTGAAGTTTCAGAGTCTGTTGTGATGACTGAGGTTGGTGGCCTTTCCTTCCAGGTTCTGAGAACAACCCCCAGACACTGCTGTTTTCTGCAACTTGTCCACGATGGGTACATGATGTAGCAAAAAAATACATGAAAGATGAATATGAACAGATTGACCTGATTGGAAAGAAGACTCAAAGGACTGCCACGACTGTGGAAGTGAGTGACCCTGCTGCAGAGCAATGCAGGTCCTGAGAGCATGTGGCCTGGATGAAATGGACTCTGCATTGACTTTACAAAAGGGGGTGTGGGATGACTTTTCACGTGATTGACACAAATTTTTTAAGCAAAGCTTTCATGTGGGGGCAGTAGTTTGCAAGCTTAAAAAAAAAAAATCTTTCTGCATTCATTTTGTCTGTCCTGTGTGTGGCGTAGATTGAACATAGATGCTGATGATGTTTGTTTCCCAAACAGCACTTGGCTATACAGTGTCGCTCATCTCAGAGAGCAGGAGTTCTTGGGGATATCATTCAAGTCTACAGTGGCAGCCGTGGGCGGACGATTGTCTTCTGTGAGACCAAAAAGGAAGCAAACGAACTGGCTATGAATGCTTCGCTCAAACAGGTACTAGGGTCTAAACGGAGAGCAGCAGTTACGGATATTCAGGGATTGAATGCCTGGAAATAAATACGAGGTTGCACCTGTGTGGATGAAGTTGTTTCTGTGGGTGATTTTAAGACTTATGAAAGCTGTTTCTAAAAGTAGAGCTTTGCAGTTAAGGTACCCTCTTGGGTGTGATTACGAATTTATTCCTTTGGCTTTAAAATCATGCAGGACAGGATCAGTGGAAAATACGCAGTTATGCTGAATAACCAGGAGATAGTAATAATGGTAATAAACAGGACCTAGTATAGTGCACATATTCCATCTCATGTCAGTGTGCTTTTCGAATTCCCATCTCTTAATGGCATTTATTCGTTGAACAGTCAGCATTCAGGAAAATCCAACTAATACAGTAGAATGGAATGTCTTGTTGCCCTCGGAAGGTCATTTACTAGTTTGTTCAGAACTCGGGTGGTATATTGAGCAGGTTTTCTATGCTTGCTTGAATTATTACCCTTTATTGAGCTTGGGGAAAGGTGCTGGATTTTTTTTAGGGAAAATCCTGGTTGATACTAAATACTAATTTATGGAGAAAGAGCAGTGATGGGAGTACATGGTTTGTCCAGTATTTGATAAACGTCGTGTACCATCCACGTTAAAATCTCACAGCAACAATTTATGTCTGTTGGCCCTGCTGCTTTCACAGTAAATCCAGTGACTTTGTTCTTGTGTCAGTATGTGATGCATTTTTCTCCTATGCTAGTAAGTTATGTTTTAGCATGTCACTCGTTTGAATTCTGAGCTTGTGACTCTCCCCTTTCTCCTTGTCAAACGCTTGATCTATTTCTTGTTGCATTAAAAGTAGAGGTTTTTCAGATCACCTGCAGGGTTTGGGAATGCCCTGAAAACCTCACTTCAGCTTCTCTGGGTTTTGGGATGGCTTCCCAGGGAAGGGAGCAAAGTCTCTTGCTAGCTCTTGACAAGCACTGCTTAAGTAAAGTTAAGCTTCCATTTGTTCCAGTGGAAGTGAAAGCTGAAGTGGGCCCTTTTGGCATGACAGTCTGCAAATTGTATGGTTTTGCTGTTGGTATACTACAAATAACATTATGGAAAAACTACTGCTTATGAGTATTGATTGTCCCAAAGAAGGATCAAACTACAAAGTAGGATGCTTTATATTCCTTTGGTATCAGCTGTATAATTTTCTGCTGCTCTGCACAATATTTTGGGTTTTGTAATTAAATGTCTTTAGATACTGCAGCCTAGACTCCTCTGTTGAATGACATGTTAATGGTTTGTTTCGCTGACAGGATGCCCAGTCATTACATGGTGACATTCCACAGAAACAGAGAGAAGTTACATTAAAAGGCTTTAGAGATGGTGTGTTTGAAGTTCTGATTGCAACAAATGTAGCTGCCCGTGGTTTGGATATTCCTGAGGTTGACCTTGTTATACAGTGTTCACCACCAAAGGTAAGTCATTACGGCAAACTAAAATTGTAATTGATTTTTTTTGTGACAGAACAGTGGGTTATTTCTCTGTTTCACCAGAAGTACGTTCTGATTTGCAAAAGAAGTGGATTTTTTGTAAATGCAGGCCTAGAATTTCCCAGTTAAGCTTTTATATTTTCAGCTTTGATTAAAGTAGTGCTTTTCAGTGACTCTGGCAAGTTGCAAGATAGCTTTTGACATTATTTCAGCATTTCTGAATTCCTTCTGAATGTTGTTGAGTTTCATAACGATTCTAAAATACTCCTGCTTCCTTTTTCTTCTTTTGAAACTCCAGTGGAGCTTTTTATTTAAAAAAAACTTATGTCAATAGTGTTTGTTAAACCTGAGGCAGCATACCTTGGGCATGGTAGCATATGCAAACCCGAGTGGTTTGTGTGTAGTTACAAGTTTGAGACATAATGTATCACTCCTTAGGCTTCTGAATTAGAATTTAGCTTGCGTTTTCTCTCTCACACACTGTATAAATGTCAATGATTTAAATGACGTAAGGTTTTCTCATGTTAATCTGAATTTCTGAAGGATGTTGATTCCTACATCCATCGTTCCGGACGTACAGGTCGAGCTGGCAGGACTGGGATCTGCATTTGTTTATTTCAGAGAAGAGAAGAAGATCTTCTAAAACAAGTTGAGCACAAAGCGGTGAGTTGTACCTCTGACCTCTGCTTAATGAAATTATTCAGCTTCTGAAAAGACTCTGCCGCTCTCAGACTTTGTAACCATGACTTTTTTATGAGTCCTGTATGGGACTCATGTCTCATAGTCCAGTAGGCCTAAAATGTTGATATTTAGTAAGCATTCGTAAATGCTTTTGTATCGGCCTGTTCTAGTGTCTCATGAGTTTCCCCATGTTGGCAGTATTCTGTTGCTGTCAGCAGGCAGACTGTGACAGAAATGCGTGAAGGAGTGACCATGCCTTTCATTACAATCAGCATGTAAATTGCTGCAAAATAGCTCCAGATTAACAAAGGCAGGAACTTAAAGAAAAGCTTTATTCTAGCTTTAGAAGTAACTTAAGTAACGACTGTGATGTTCTAAACAGCGAGTAACTAGAGGTCACAGTAATGTGACTTGGGTAGGGTTGAGTTGTAGAGTGCTGAAAACACCTTTAACTGTAATTTGTTTTTTTGATTTCAGGGGATTACATTTAAGCGTATAGGTGTTCCATCTGCTACAGATGTAATTAAAGCTTCAAGTAATGATGCCAAGAAGTAAGTTTATTTATCTGTTCTTAAAAGATGTCTACCAACAACAATGTTGTTAATGCAGAGCTTTAAGGGATCAGACCTATATGTGAGCGTGGCTTTGCCTTTGTCATAAAAGTTGGCTGGTTTGCCTGTAGGCACTGACTTGTTTTCATAAGATGATAGCAATAAACCTCTGTGTGCTTGAACATAGACTCTTTCATAGAACATAATGTTCTCCCAAGTTCTTGCAAAAATTAACCTTTGTTTATGTCATCAGAAATTGATAGCAGAACTGGGAATTACTGTTACGCAGGGAAAATGATTTTATCCACTTAGATGATACAGTAGCAATGTGTAAAGAGCAATACTTAGTATCCTAAGGAGTTACTCCGCAGTAGTGAGAGTGTTGTAGCCCTGTTCTGTGTTTCTTTATAGCATTTTATTCTCAAGGGTTGGGTTTTTTATTTCGTGCAGCTCTGTTTACATTTGCTGCCTGATTGGTGGAAATGGTATTGACAGAGATGATTATAATTTAATCAACTGGCACTGAGATTGAGAAGTGCCTTTGCCCCAGCCCAGCAGTGGCATTGTGGTGGTTTGCTTCTCTTCCTTGTGAAGTAAAAGCAAGGGATTCTTGGGTTTGCTGGCAACATTTTCTTGTGGATTCTTGGGTATGGCCTTAAGAATGCTGATATTTTAGAGCCTTGATGTTTTTATCAGTGCTGTCAAACATGTCACGTAGATCCCCAGTTTTGAACACATCTTTCAAGAGGCTTGGCTTAATGAACAGAGAAGGTGGGTATTCAGCATCCTGAAGGTGTTGAGTTAAATGAGTGGTAGTGAGGCGTGAGTGTGATAGCCAAGGCTTTTAGAGATAACTCGTTAATCTTGCAAGCTGTTGGAAGTCTATGTCTTAAACATAACTGCACTTCACACTGGCCTTTACTGATCTCTTAAACTTTTGTTGTCACCATGTAGGTTGTTGGAGGCCATTCCTCCTTCTGCAGTAGACTACTTCAGAAAATCTGCTCAAGAGCTCATAGATGAAAAAGGGGCAGTTGCTGCCCTGGCTGCAGCTCTAGCACATATTTCTGGGGCATCTTATGTACAACAGCGGTCCTTACTCAACTCAACTGCGGTAAATAACATTATATCTGTGTTAACAAGAATGGATGAATGAATTGCTTGCGTCTAGTCCAAGTGTGGCATCTTCTTCTCAGGCTCTTTCAGCAGGGTTTCTGAAAAGCTGTTATCCTCAGCTCCTGGTTTGTTGCTTGTTTCTTAACTGAAATCAGCTCTTACTGGCACCCTGCAGGAAAACAGAGAAACTTGAAATCAGTTAATAAGTTTTCTTGTAATGAGACTTAAAAGAATTTCTCCAGAGATCTAAGTGACAGAAGACTTTTATGCTCTAAGAGAGTTTAACTAATGACATTTTACAAACTCATAGGATGGTTCCTGCTGTTGTAGTTTTCCTTTCCCAGGAAGCTTTTACATTTCTGTAATATTTCAAGTAAGTCTAGCATGCGATTACCTGATTTCAAAGAGAACTCGGCAGAAGAAAAGTACAGCGCTTCCTTTTTCTGATGCGTTTAGGAAGAACTTGGCCCAGTTCATTGTGTGGTAACACAGTTTTGGAAATACTATGTCACTGGATTGTGCTTCTTGTATCAGTTTGGGGTTTTTTAACCCGTTTTCTAGCAGTAACTTTCTGTACGTGTTGAATAAATGTGTCTCTGCTTCTGGCTAAAATACAGAAATGCTATTGGCCTTTATATCAATGGGCAATCCTAGGTTAGATGGATGGCTTCAGCTTCTTAGGAGGCTTTTAG